CATCATAATTTGTTACTTTTCAGGACCAGTACTAGTCGCGAATTCAACTTTTTCATGGAATAGAGGTCATGGCATCATGGTGGACAACACTACCGATGGTCGAGTTTTCATCAACATGACCAGAATTGAGAACAACTTTGGTGATGGCATATGGTACCGACAAAAAACCGGCTCGAACCTACTGACGCATGGCATCCGTGGGTATTGAAGTTTAGGTTACTGATAACTTTTTGTGAAACTTGATCATTCAGGAACCCAACGGGATCTCGGCGTTTTTGCCGAGGAGAAGCCTCGTGCCGACATCTGCCGACAGCACTCGCTGCCATCACAGTACTTCTTTCCTCATCTGTTGATGGCTCGTCTTCGACAATGGAACGCTTTACGATCCCTCGAGTCCTCCATCTTGTTGGATAGTAAGTTCTACTCCCCTCAGATGTATGCTTACTTTCTGGATAAATGCTAGTTCATTTCAGGCTATTTCATTGCCACCGCGTCTTGCGTACACGTACTCGCTGCAGTTCGTGAATGTCCGGAATTTGAACCCTCCTGGAACATCCACGACGAATCTGGTCGTCTGCGACGCAACGCAGGAACGTAATGCTTGTGCACTCGAACGTCTAAGGATTCCTATTCTGAACGAGATCTACCCACAGACAATAAGTTTGAGGTACCGAATTTATTGATTGGAATAAGCCCTGACAAAAACGCTGATCTCACTTCAGGTGAAGTGTTTCCTATAGTGCAAGGAACACTTCAGGGCGCGCTATTCTATTTAACTAAGCAGTTTGGTCTGGCCTGTCTATAAAACCCTAAGGTCAATCCGATTATCTCGGGTTGCTCCGGTTCTCATCAGAACCAGTGAATCTTAAATTCAATTAGAGTTCACAATTATATCGCTGGCTGTTCCTCAGGGGTCAAGGGCACGAAAGGCTGGTTTGCAGTCAGCAGATTTTTGGATCTGTCAGTGAATATTACAAATTATTAACTCGAAATATTCTTGGTGCTGTGCTCAAAAAGTCACCAGCGTCGATGCCAGTGCCCCAACTGGGCATTTTATGCGTTCGTTTTACGACCTGCAGCAGATACACAGCTCTGCAAGCCGTGCAAAAGAAATTCAGGAGCTAAGGTGCAGAGAACTTCTGATTTGCTAGCGCGAAATAGGAGCGAAAACGTGCTGAGCTAATGAGATTCATTTACATTTCGCTGCGGAACGGGGTGTCAGTTGAGGTTGGATTGAGCCGCAGCAGCCGCTCTTCAACTAGTTTTTGAAGCAGTAAGGACAACAACAGTGGGATACGACAACGTATGATTTCAGGTCTTGTCGTCTGCCATACGAAATAAAATGGGCTAGCATTGCATCACACTCATCCTTAGACACGCCCGTCATCCGCACCGAACTAGACTGTATGTTGTATACTGTATACTGGCCGATAATTTCTGGACACAATGGAGATCGAGGTCTAGGAACTCATTTAGGTGATTTGTAATCTCAATACCTCATTATTAATCTGTACTAGCTACTTCATATTCTAACACTGTCGTCTCTTTTATTAGCTGCTGTTGGCGGTGTTCAAGCTCTACCTCACACTCTGTCCCCTCCCTTATGTGGGTTAACGATCTGACATGTCATCTGCAACGCGCCACCTGCCCGCCACCCACGCCAACGAGTCCCTCACTACACCCTCACGATCCCCACCGTTTCGCTTCTATCATGAGATCGTGCGCCAACGCGTACTTGCGAATAACACTAGTACCATTGAAGGCAAAGCCCGCGATCATTCGCCATCACAGATAGTGGATTAGGGGTTTGCATATAGACGACAAGGTTCTGAGTAACTTGATAGTGAAAGAGAAAGCAAAAACATGTCCGTTTGCCCTGGATAGGACCCCATTTCGATCCTGTTTGAAACGTGCCAACCAACTCCATCTCTAACGACTACGCCTCATCTGTTCACAGCTGATTCTCCGATAAAAGTCTACGACGTACAAGTGATGATTATTCATGCTTTTCGTACCTCAGCTCTTTCTTCACTGGAAAAACGGCCCTTGAAGGCGTAGTCTGGAGGCGAAGCACTGCGAAAACAGGACACATAGACCTATTACTATTTGCATATATAGCGGCCCTTCCGCTTGACATTTTTGCAGAAGATTGCGTTACAAGTTGTTCGCCGCGGAACCACTTTATCCTCTGACTCCATTATTCTTAACTTCTATACCTGACGTGGACAGTGCCTTAAAAGCTGGAAACGGTATTGTATCTTTCATTCAACCTATTCGCGCATGTGACATAGGCCAAGCCCTCAGAGGAAGTTGAAGGCTGCTACTTCACGATTTTACTATCGTTGCTGAGACTTACTGCGAGCAGCTGGATCAAGTGATAGCTAAGCTGAGAAGCATACAGAGGGAAGTCATGTCCTTGAGTGACAACGCGCGTCACGGCGGCCAGGAAATTGATGGATGAAGTGCGCAGCCTGCTGCGACGGTTTTTTCCAAACGACCGTATAGCGCCATCCGATATTACACTTTCGATCTTTTTCTATAATCTGGGAGGACGCCACTTTATTAACTGAAGTTGGATACCGAAATGCGACCTCATTTCTTTGAGAGTATGTCACTAGATTTTTACAAAATGGGAGTACACCGCCCTGCTGGGGAAGGTCATCGAATGAAACCAACACAAGAGTGCTCGAACAGTGGAACAATGTGACAAGATTGGTAAAAAAGTCCCAAAAACTATTCGCTAGCTAAACAACAAGGAGGCTGCCACCAATGGTTTCGCGCAGCAAACGACGACGGATTTTTGAGAGCACTGCATGTTTGTGGGGGTTACCCATGATGGATTCTGATCCCCTGCTTCTCTCTCTCTTAGAACTCCTCGCCAGAACTACATTTCTTTGAAGTTCGTCCCAAAAAGATACGTTTTGGTGTGAGCATGTTCACCTGATGACTGCACATCTCAAATGGGTTAACTAAATCCTGGTGAATTTCTTGTACATAGCTAGCCTTTCCTGGCCAGGGAACGTAAACAACCACTGCCAGCTCAAGGACAAGGCTCTCGCCATTGCCGCATCCCGCTTTAATTCATAACAAAATCCTTTCAGAAGTGGAGCGACTCCGCTTTTTCTGGCTTTGGAGCATCAACAAGAAGGAAACACTGCTGGTTACATTGTCGGAGATGTTGAAGTGCTTTTCAAAGTCCATGCCAGTGTCTCCGGTGAGGATATGCTCTTCAGGGCTTGAGTTATGAAATAAAATATTCTTTTAGACAAGGCTTTTTATGGTCTCAACGTAACAAACTCTATTATAAATGGCAATATTGGTAATGGGGTGTCTGGTCATGACATCCGTGAGAGAACAGCTCTCTCTAATGTGACCCTCAACCAGAATCAGGGACTAGCTGGGTTCCTTATCAAGGTAATGGCGACGATTGCTGTAGCAGTAGCACTGACTTAATGCATTCATTGTGTTACAGGACGGTGCAGCCGATATTTGGCTGAATGACACCAGAATCCAAGAGAACTGGGGTGATGGTGTGAATATTAGCTACGCAGGCGGTGCAATCACAATCAACGGCACTCGCCTGGAGAGAAATCGTTGGAGAGGTTCGTTGAAGGCCAATTTTTATTCGATTAGAGACTCTTTCATGGGCCGATTCCAGGAGCTGCTTTTCATTTCAACGACTCATCACCTTTTCTCGCGCTTCATCAGGAAATCGTCTTCAAAGGACGACCTTCAAACAACATCTTCTATTTGCCGACCATCGTCGCCGACAACAAATGGGGAGGTGTTCTTGTGGGGAACTTCTGCATACCAGCCTATCGCAATATTGAACCTAAGGTACCAGAATTTGTATTCTGTCCCAAAAAAACGTGTTCTGATACCTTCGGAGAATGAATACGATGCTAAATAGATTGTTTGAAACGGTGCAAGGAGAAAAAGTATGACACACCATGTGCGTCACGCGGTCCGGAACGTGTTAAACAACTTATATCGAATCTTTAAAAAAGTAAAAGTTATGGAATGAAAAGCATTCCTGACAAAAAAGTTGTAGAAAGTTAGTGACCAAATGAAACAGAGAAAAGATCTCATAGAAAAGTGAAAGAAACAGATGAAATTGCTGATTATCGGTTTGAAAAGTAACGAAATTATGCAGAGATCATCGCACAACGGCGCTCCGGAATGTGTTAAAATGGAACATGGATTGTTAAAATTTACCTTATAGCATGAACAGCAATGAATCGTTAATTCAGTAGAAATCAAATTCGAATCCACATTTTTCAGGTGCTGATCAATTGGGTTGAGTTTCTCAGCAATTCTTACCATCCTGCTCTGGAGATCCACTCTTGCCAAGGTTATGGAACTGCACGAACCGTTGTTGACATTACTGGAAATCGAATCGAAGGTAAGCAAAGCCAGCGACGCCAAATCCCCTACAGAATACTTCCTCACTAGTTTCAATTTTTTGATTTTTTAAAATATTAAGTTTTCATAATAATTTTATTTATTTTGGTTTTTATCACTA